GATATATTGATAAAAAAATCTCTTTCTCTTGCTTCCAATCAAACAAAAAAAAGTATCATCTCATCCATTCTTTCTATTATCCATTCCATTTAACCAAACAGAAAATGGAGGAGACACCTTCCGTTCCCTAGGGATTCCTCATTCATCCATCTCTCTATCTCTTCCATCCATTTTTTCATCCCTCCAACCAAACAAAGCATTAATTTTCATCATTATTAAATTCGGACTCAAAATATCTTGCCCAGGTTTAGACCGAAATTAAAAAAACATTACCAAGCCCAAACAAATTCGGACTGAACTCGGGTTATTTAAGGTTGAGCCGCTTGAGATGCAGCTCATATGACAGGAGAAAAATGCTAAATTTTAAAATTTCATAAAAATAAAAAAATGTATTAATTATACATTTACCAGTCCCTATGCCACTGCGTGACTGCAAGTAGCAGTCCTTTAAAATCAATGGGTAAAAAATACAGAGTAGTAGCCTCCATATCGAAATAGAATTCTAGAGTGCGATGTGTGTATAAAATGGGGACTAGATGGGCTGTGCAAATACAACGATTGGTATTAAGGTTTAGCCAGGGTTCTGCTTCTGCAATGGAGGATCCACGGTCATCGTCGCCGGGAAAACTGCTGGGTTGACAAAGCAGCAGGGGAGATTCAGGGACTGGTATCAAAAACATTCATCCGCTAAGGCATACGTCGCTCAGTGAATCCTCATCTGATGTTGGTTGTGTTCTTTGTCCTGTAATCTTGATTCAATAGCACTCAGTCTTATTTAGTATTGTATATATATACACAGACATATATCACTTGATTCAATAGCACCGAGTCTTATTTAGTATTCTATATATACACACAGATGTGTTATGTTGTTTTTAACCACCAAAGGCTTTAATACGGTGATGTCTATAATGTATTCAAACCATTGTAGATAAGTGTCACTTTCTTGTTTTGACGGTTTTGGTTTTGTGATTAGGAAAAATAAAAATATATTCAAACTTCTTAAGGAACAAGTATTTTGATCGTGAGCGGAAAATTCCTACTGTCAATGACAATGACTGTTTTTGTTGAAGAAGACGGTGGCGTTTTGTGGGATTTGCAACATTCAACAAAGCCTCCACTCCCATTGCTGATGTTGAATGACGTAATAAGAAAACAAAATATTAAATTCTGTTCGCTCTCAGATGGCACCATTCATGGTGCTAAGGTACCTCCAGAGTTACGCGTATGTCGTGTTGTTGGATCTTCCATGGTTGGTTGCTGATGGCTCAAGCTCTTCCAATGAAGAGCAACAGTTTTCTAGAGCATATCTTGATGTCACTGGCCAAAGTTCCGATAAAAAATTTCCTGTTCAACCCGTTTAGTAAACAGATCATCCATCACCCATCCCAGACAAAAGTTCCATTTTATCGTTCAGACCAGCCAAGGTTCATTCTGAAGGCCAGTTTATCGTGTGCCCCGACTCCGGACAACTTGGCAGCAGGAGGTGCATAATTGTCATACTATTTGTAGCTGGGAAACTGGCTTTCTGTAAACCAGGGGATGCATCATGGTCCGTCTTGGATTCGGCTGGATTTTACTACGTGGACATTGCATTCTATGAGGGAAAGTTACATGCCCTCAATTGTAATGAGGACCTTGGCATCTTTAATGAGTTGGGAAGAAGTGGTGAAGTAACAAGACTCAACTTGCACTTGCCTTGTGTTCCTACTACATTGTGTCCATGGGAGAGTTTAATCATGTACTTGGTGCAATCTAATCGGGATCTAATTATGTTTATGAGGTTTTGGAAGGATGAACCTGAGTATGATGAACAATTATTCTGCCCTATCCAAACTCTCGACATCAAGGTGTTCAGGTTAGATCGCAGCAGTGGACTGTGGGTAGAGACGAACAGTTTAGGGGATCAAATGCTGTTCTTGGGTACCAACTGCTCGGTATCTTACACAGCTCCCATACCTGGGTTTTCAGGGAACTCGATTTATTTTACCCATCACCATTTTGATGGCTTCGAGGATGATGATCAACCAAGTGAGTTACGAGACTTGGGATTGTTTAGATTGGACCAGGGAAGCTTTGAGCCATGCTTTCAGACTAGTTTGACTTAGTTTTCCTATTTTTCTTATGCTGATTAATCCTGTGTCTGGTTGAAGGGATGGAAAAATAAATGGAAGGGAAAGAGGGAGGAATGGATGTGTCAGGAAGGAAATTTTTGGGTTGGGGAATGGGTAAAAGAAATGAACATGTGTCTGTGATGAAACCACTGGTTTCTTATATATATATATTTTTTTGAGCAATGCTTGGATCGTGCCCTATCAGAATAAGTTTTGTCCTCCACCTTGATGTGGTCCTATAAAAACTTGACACTTGTCTCAATATTGTATAATATTAAAAAAAGAAAAGCATTTGGATCAACCCGTCACAAATGGATTTTTTTGCTAAAGCTTTGGTCCGAACTCGGCGGCTCCGACGGGATCTTGCCACCTACATCCCCACAATCATTGGTTGTAAAGGGCGGTGAAGGTGGGGCGTTGCTGAGATCAGACAAGCGGTGAGCTTGCCGGTGGAGGGCTCAGCTTCGGATGATAGCAACCGTGATGGGCGCGGCTGACTGACAGCGACAGTGATAGGCTGACTTCAGATAGTGGCGAGGACGGCTCGGCTGGGGACAGCTCGGTCGTGAATAATTTGACCAGCGGTGGCGATGGCAGATCGGCGAGGATGAAGACGGTAGTGGGCTTGCGGCGCTGCTTGGCGAGATTGAACGGTAGTGGGTTTGCAGCGCGGCGCCGGCGGGCAAGGAAAAGCTTGACTGTGGATGAATTATGGCTGACTTGTGATAAGGTGGGCTGAACTCGGCCGGTGGCAGGGGCAGAGCCAGGGGTGGCCATGGGCCCCCTAATTTTTTAGAATTTTAGTCCCCCTAAGAAAAAAAAATATATATAAAAATTTAATGTCACTATCTTAAAATTTCAACTCAAATACAGTTTTTAACGTAATGTAATTATCCTAAAATCCTTCCAACTCAATCACAATTCTTTCAATAACCTTATTATCCTAAAATTATATATCATACATGATTCTTTCCGATCATTTTTTTTTTCTTCTTACTTGCCAATATTCTTTGATTTAAGTCAGTCAAAATTGATTTATTGTTGTTTGTTTTTTTATTGATATATTGTGTAATGATTATTAATTTGTGCAAGTATTATATGAATTTCTTATTTTTTTTTTTATAAATTAAAATCTAAAATCTAAATTAAATTGTTTTATTAATTTTTTTATTTATAATTTTGGCAAAAATCTTATTGGAAAGTTTAACAAAAAAAACTTGTTCAAATAACTATATTTTTTCATTTAAATAAATTGGTAAAATTTTAGATAGATATATTTTTATGTGAATTTAATAAATTGTAAAATATTTTTGCCTACGTAATTTTTTTTTTTTTTTTCTCCAAAAGTTCTAACTAAGCAACATTGCTTATTTTAGCCCCCCTAATCTCAAGATCTTGGCTCCGCCCCTGGCCGGTGGAATGGAGGATTCAGAACGGTGACCGGAAAAGATGAATGTGCTGGTTCGACAAAGATGAAAGGAAGACTTTCTGAAAAGAGAAAAAGGACTGGAGGAGAGAGAAGATAGGTTTCTCTGATGGATTGTACCCAGTAACTAATTTGATGCAGTATGATTCATTTTTATTTTTTGGGCAGGTGTCAAGTTTTCATAGGGCCACATCAGGGTGGAGGACAAAACTTGTCCTAATTGGGCAGATCCAAGCATTGCTCTTCTATTTTTTGGTGAATGTGTTTTGGTTGAATGGAAGGGGAAAAAAGTTTTTATATTCATTTTACCAATATAAATCTTAGTGAGTTTAAAGTAAAACTTTTTCCAAATTATTTTACAAGAAATTTTTTGTCAAGTAATGTATAGAATTTACATTCTTTTTACAAATTTATATTGGCATCAATAAAAATAAATAAATGCTAATGTTATTTAAGGTAGTAGGGTTAATTAATTTTTTTTGGAAAGGTTAAAAATGTATATTATTATTATTATTTTTTTTTGGTAGTTATCAATATTCACTTTCCTCTTTCACCCAAATTTGGTCTACGACCTTTTTTAAAAAAATAACAAAAATAATTTTATTTTAGATAATTTATGTTATAGTCATAAAAAAAAAATTAAAAATAAAAAAATACTTGAAAAGAAAAATGTTACCCTCCTTATAAGAATCTATTTGTTCTTATCCTATTTATTAAATATACACTTAACTTATCATACTTTGTGGTGGAGTGGAAAGAAATGATGTGATTAAAATTTAAGAACAAAACTTTACAGGTTTAGACCTAAAACACACAATATCATCACATTTTGGATTAAACTTTAAGAACAAAACCTTACTACTTCATACCCAAAACACATAATATGATGCCATGAAATGAGTGGTTGACACTTGCTTAAAGCAAGTCAAGCCCAACAACCACTCCGTTGACACTTGCTTAAAACAAGTCAAGCCCAACAACCACTCCGAATCCAGTCATTAGTAGGTGAAGAAAGATATCCACCGTAACCATGCGCTCCGTGAAGATTGCGCTCCGTGAAGATTCCTAAATTTTATCAGTTTTCCTGTGAAATGGGTCATGGTCGTTGAAAAGAAAAATAGTACCCACGGATATCTTACCTCGTTAGTTCCATATTAGTACCCATTTAACAAATACAAAAACTTCTTAAATATATGCATAACTTAGACCCGCCCTTGCATAAAATAGTCAAGCCCAACAAACACTCCCAATCCACTCACTAGGTGAGGAAAGATATCACTGTAACCATGCGCTCCGTGAAGTTCAATTTTATACCTAGTGTTTGTCAAAATCAGAGGGTACATGATAAGTGATACATGGTCGTTGTATATTAGTACTGCCACCATACTCCTCTCCCCCACTCTTGCCCTTTTTGTGCGTTCACACTTCACACAGCTGGTGCCACTCTGTTGACTTATTGTACACCAAGTGGCGAAGTCTCATTTGCTTTGTATGCTACATAGTCAAAAATTCACACTCCAAAATAATATACAGAAACACGCACACACAAAAAAGATAGGAAAGCAGAGAACAACAAAGATCATTTAATTTGAGCTTCAGAAAGCCATTGGGTTGGTTGTCTTTGAAATCAGATCTATGATGAGGCAAAACTGCTTTCTGGGTTAAAGCTTCAAGTATGTATTAATTTCATATTATTTCATTCCACTTTTTATTTATTTATCCACTTAATTTTTCCTTGTCCTTTCCAGTTGATTGAAATGGAAAAGAAAAAACTTCTCACATGAAAAATGTATAAAGTTTTATTTTGACTGTTTAAATTATTCATTCATTTTATTAAAATTGATATTATGTCAGTTCATTCCATTCATATTCAAAGTTATGTTCCCAGATTTTTATTTAATTTTTTTTTTATTTTTTAAATTTGTTAGCCTCTGAGTCTGAAATAATGGTTACACCTCTGAGTTATCTGTATATGGATATTTATCTTCCATATTGTATTGTACCTTTACCTTCAATTTTGTGTTTCAGTTGTATATATCTTGCGATTGAATCTACATGGTTTCCAAAAGTTAGAAGAAAAGAAAACTGGGAATAAAAAACACCTAATCTGCCAAAATTTTCTTTTCCTCTCCTCTTAGCATACAACTGAGCAATCATACAACTGAGGAATCAAAAATTTCTCCCAATTTTTTCATGTTGTCTCCTCCATGAAAGAATTTACTTTGTCCAATTATATATTGTTGATAAATTGGTTTATGTTTCTCATATTCTGTCTTTGATAATTGAAAAGTATTTCTTAAGAAGATTTTATATGCCTTGTTGTTCTACATTTGCTGCAGTTTTAGCACATATTCAAGTTCCACTGTCGTTCGGTCTTTGAGTCAATTTCCCAAACAAATAGAATACTAAATCAAGCATAATCTAGTTTCCAGACTTCCATGGCAGAAGATAAAATCTATACTAAAGATGGGACCGTAATCGCGGCAGAAGATGACATCTATACGAAAGATGGAACAGTAGATTACAAAAATAATCCAGCTAATAAGAAGAAAACAGGCACATGGAAGGCATGTCCCTTTATCCTAGGTATGCATCTTGTTCATCACTTACTCAAGTTAACAGAATTTGAAATTTGGGTAAAAATTTGTATTCACTTTTATGTTCATCGGCAGGAAATGAATGCTGCGAAAGGTTGGCATACTATGGAATGGGCACCAATCTGGTGCTTTATTTCAAGCATCATCTGAACCAGGACAGTGCTACGGCTTCTAAGAATGTCTCGAATTGGTCTGGAACCTGCTACATCACACCACTGATAGGAGCATTTCTGGCTGATGCATACCTAGGAAGATATTGGACGATTGCCTTTTTCTCAATCATCTATGTCATTGTAAGTAGTTATGTTTGTGAAACTTTATCGACTTGAATATCAACTCGGTAATTTGTTTTTGTCCTATGAAATCCATATGGGGCATCTAAGATGACATTGTATTTGTATCCTTCTATAGCAATGTGTGCAGAAATTTGTATCACCATAAAAGACTATTATAGAAAAACACACATATGCATACACACACACACACACACACATATATATGAGCCTTACTGGAAATTGATGTGTATAAGAAGAGTTCATTTTTGTTGAAATTGACAATTTTGTTCTATATACATGATGAAAATCCAGGCTCATACAAAATTGGTTTTTAAAATTAACAGAGACTAACTTGTACCAAAAACAAAGTAGAATGGATATGAGCAGTTAAATGGAATGAAATGATTATTTGCAAAATGCAAATGCCTCCTTACTTCATCTGCTCAATTCAGCCTTGCGGATTATATTCAATGCAGAAAGAAATCTTAGCTGAGTTTTGAATAAATACATGGGTGAATGGTACATTCTTTCTAGTTACGCTGAAATAACCCAATTTCATGTAGGGAATGACACTGTTGACGTTGTCAGCATCCATCCCCGGCATAAAACCATCCTGTAACGGTGATGTTTGTGACCCCACATTTAGAGAAAGCGCAGTGTGCTTCCTGGCACTCTACCTTATAGCTCTGGGGACTGGAGGAATAAAGCCTTGTGTGTCATCCTTTGGAGCAGATCAGTTTGACGATGCTGATGAGGTTGAGAAAAGACACAAGAGTTCTTTCTTCAACTGGTTCTATTTTTCAATAAATGTTGGAGCACTCATTGCTTCTTCTCTTCTAGTCTGGATACAAGATAATGTGGGGTGGGGCTGGGGTTTCGGCATTCCAGCTGTGGCAATGGCAATTGCTGTCGTGAGCTTCTTTTCAGGTACTCGTTTGTATCGGAACCAGAAACCTGGAGGCAGCCCTCTGACACGCATAGCTCAGGTGGTGGTGGCATCCTTCAAGAAATACCGAGTTGAAGTGCCTGCTGACAAGTCTGTTTTGTATGAGACAACAGATGCAGAATCTTCTATCAAAGGAAGCCGCAAGCTTGATCATACAAAAGATCTTAGGTAAGTGTCCCAGCACCAGGTGATTTCTGTCAAAATTCATGGACATGGAAAATGGTTCTGTTTGGTTTAACAAAGTTTAAATTTAGTATTAATAGATTCGATCAAAATTAATTGCTCAATAAGTGACTGCTCCACTAGATAAATTTTCAGAGATCTTCGTAGCAATAAAAATTATTGCATTTATTTATTATTTCATGTTAGCATGTGGAAGTGAAATTTAGTTGCAATGAAACTTATCTGAAAAATATGATAAAAATTTGAGATAGTATAATTGTTTTAATTGAATCAAGTGCTTGTATCCAGACTAAGCATGCTTAAGGACTATTCCATGAATGAAAAACAGACTCATTCAAAATTAATTATACCATTGTCCATTACCTTATGCTCCATATACATGATTTCCATATTACTTTCTCATTAAACTCATCTCAAACTCTAATCTACACTGCTTACGAAATCTTGTAAATGCAGTTTCTTTGATAAAGCAGCAGTGGTAATACAATCAGATCATATAAAGGACTCGATAAACCCATGGAAACTTTGCTCAGTGACCCAAGTTGAGGAGCTGAAAGCCATCATAAGATTGCTTCCTGTATGGGCCACCGGTATCATCTTTGCCACCGTGTACAGTCAAATGAGCACCTTATTTGTGTTGCAAGGGGAGAGAATGGATACTCGTGTTGGCAACTCTAGCTTCCATATCCCACCAGCATCACTCAGCATTTTCGACACACTCAGTGTCCTATTCTGGGTCCCAGTTTATGATAGAATGATCGTCCCATTTGTCAGAAAATTCACGGGTCACAAGAATGGCTTCACTCAACTCCAGCGAATGGGCATAGGCCTCTTCATATCTATATTTTCCATGCTAGTTGCTGGGATTTTGGAGCTCATTAGACTTGGAATGGTAAGAAGGCACAACTACTATGAACTCAAGGAAATGCCCTTGTCGATATTTTGGCAAGTTCCACAGTACTTTCTCATAGGGTGCGCGGAGGTTTTCACATTCATTGGACAATTGGAGTTCTTCTATGACCAAGCGCCTGATGCCATGAGAAGTTTGTGTTCTGCTCTCTCGCTCACCACTGTTGCGCTTGGAAACTACACAAGCTCTTTACTCGTGACCATTGTTACGTCAATTAGTACTAAGAATGGGAAGCTTGGTTGGATACCGGACAATCTGAATTATGGTCACGTCCATTACTTCTTCTGGCTCTTGGTTGTGCTGAGTGTGTTGAATTTAGGAGCTTTTCTCTTGGTAGCAAAATGGTACACATATAAAAGGGCGTTGGGCACACTTCGTTAATGGCAACAAGAGGCGATTGACACCATGTAAGCAAGTTGTTTCTTCACTTTTCTGAATTGCTTCTTTTCTGATAATGGTGGTTCAAGAACTTGTAAATTCAGCGCTTTTCAAATGTCAGTTGCTTTACTGTATACGAATAATATGTCAAGAAACAACTAAAGTGAAAATGCAAAGTTTGGACACATTGCAACTAGTAGTTTGTTTACCATATACATTGTATTTCAAGCCATAATACATTTTGGAACAAGTGATATAAATTCTTCATCAAATTTGGTTAATACACCTGTGATTTAACAATCATTGCTTATGCAATGATAAAAGTGTAGGTTGCTCAGTAAAATGTTTGAAGTGTGTATTCAAATATAAGAATATGTAAACCTTCCATTACACCGTCAAGCTTTGAAATTTTTTTAAATGATTTTTCTAGCACTTAAAAGTTGGCCTCCTGCTTTAAATCATTACCAAACACACTTATTCTTTAAAATTACTAATCGTGTATACAGGCAGTGTCCTATGTGGAGCCCGCAACCGCTTCCACTGAGTTACTTATAGTTAAAATTGTATAAATACTCCCACTGAAATTATGATAAAACATCCATTTATAAATTTGTCCCCATTATCGTTGAATTTAACTTAATAATCTCTCTTTAAAGTATTTGTATTTGTATATATAATTTTTAAAACTGTCCCCTCAAATTTTTAATAGTATCCGCTGCCTAAGAGATTCACTAGTATCCGCTGCATTTGAATTTATATATATATACGTAGTATATATTAGTCTTATTATTCTGTAATGGTGTCCTCCTCAACAAATTTTTTGAAAATAGGCCCTACTTAGGAGATTATCAATTCTGAAAGTCATCAGATGAATTAGCGATATCGGACCAATAGCATCTTAATTTACATGTCCACATCAAAACGTGTCGCTCGAACCAATTTAGTCCAAACAAAACACCATTTTGAACATCAGAATCATCACATTGATGTCTACACGAATGTGAAAGCTATTCAAAATTGAAAGTATTCGCCACATTATATTAGGCCACACCTATCTACAATTTTCAAATGGGTTCTCCAATTAGTTATACGTACAATTTGCTATATGGGGGTTACACAATTATTTTTACTGCAATCCCTAGTTAGCTGATTAACAACTCAAATTTCACTACATTTAAATGAAAAAAAAAAAAAAAAGAAAAAAAAAATTCTCAGAAACAGTAGTCCAAGTTGTAGGGATTTGGAAATAGCAATGTCATCCGAAGCTATTTAATTTTTGAGAAAACTAATAAGATAAGGAGGAGTAAAAATCTTTATATTGTTTTCATTGATTTACAGAAAGTCTACGATCTAACATAGAGACTTTTAGAAAAGAAAGGAGAGTTATTTTACAAAATTATGGAGTGTTGATCAAAAATGAAAATTTATAGAATATTAAATATTGTGTAGATATGTGTATAGAGAAGATTTCAGAATGACAGAGAGAACTGTAAAATCATATATATTTACGTATAAAGTTGCATTGAAGATTTTAGAATAGTTGAGTATTGAAGAGTTGTAGATATTTATTTGAGAAGTTGCATAGAGTAAATAAGATCCCTATAAATAAGTCAGATGTTATTTGCAACAGTCAAATGTGGATGCATTTTTCATAGCCTAGATCAAAAATCATTCTTTACCTAATGCAACAATCCCTGCACAATGGTAGTTTTAGTGAGCAACTACGACCTACGACTAATGAGGTTGCGGTTGATGACACAACCGTTAGCAATGAGATATATCACTAATAATTGAGAAACGGTTGATGACACAACCGTTAGCAATGAGATATATCACTAATAATTGAGAAATGTGATGGTAAAGGAAGAACGTCCTTTGTATGAATTTTATGGTTGTTGGGATCCTGACAGAGGAATGGATTGTAGGCAATAATTTCTTACATTTTTGTATCTTCGTTGCTGACTATGCCCATATGGGCCGATATGGAATAAAACTAATACATTCTGAAAATTTCATTTTAAATTTCAAATTCCACCAACACTTGTGAATAAATGAGGATGTTAATTAGGCCGTTCAACAGTTACATAGTAATATTAGTTCAATTTAACCATCAGAATTACACGAAGGCAGACCAATTTTCATAATTACATTATTCCATATAAATAGTTAAACCATTGGTTGCTTGCACGGGTAAAGCATGAACTGTCATTTGGTTCTTCCCTAAGCCACGTTCCAATAGTTTTAAAGATAATTAAAATGCAAAAGAAAGAATAAGGGCCTTCAGTGTGCATAATTGGATCTTTGTTAGATGGTGTTGGCCTTCAGTGTGCATAATGTATTTTCTTTTTTTAGGTAAAAAAAAATATATTTTTCAATATTTGGTTATGACAACCAAATACCAGAAAATAAAAAATATTTTATATCCAAACAAACGGATTGGTTCAACGGAAATTGGGATAATTTCACTTACCTCTCCTGAGGTTAGGCGTAATTACAAGTGGTACCCCTTACATTTCAAATATTACACTGACCTCTCTCCAAACTGATCGGCATTTTATTCCGGCCATTGACCATGTTAAATGACTAAAACACCCTCAATATTTTATTAATATATATCACATAAAGAATATTTTATTAATATTTTATAGGGTAATGCTTGCATCCTCCCCGAGGACAAAACTTATCTTACAATCTAACGTGACCCTATCAAAATTTGACACCTGTCATAATCTGATATAACATTAAAAAAATGAGCAATTTGGATCAACCCGGATAGAATCCAATTAGAAACCCATTTTTTCTCTCTCTTTCTCTCTTTTTGGCTTCCTGGTCCTCTTCTTCCTTTCTTTTTCTCAGCAATCCCTTGAGCCTCCTTTTGAGCCATTACCTTTGTCGCCGCCGTTCCCTAACAGATTTAATCATATCCAAAATCACTGACCCCCATTCACTGATAAGAAATTCAATCATTTTTTTTAACAGTTCGCATATGTATTTTAAATCCACAAATTTCCAAAAAAAAACTTAATTTCTTTTTCCTTTTTGATAATTAACAACACAGACACTTGCAATCTTGCATCCCATCAAGGACTTGAGCCCTGCACTATAATGAAAGAGTGCCTAGATTGCCAATGGAAATTATCAATTAAAACTCATAAACAACTTCAAAACAAATGTATAACATAGAGAAGAAAATAATCAGATTCTATGACTTACAATGACAGAAATAGGTGGTGACGAGAAGAAATCCAGAGGGCCCAAAAGCGCGCCATGTGAGAGTGCCAAGCAAAAAGGCGATCCCAATGCAGGAGAGAGACAACACAAATATGAGAAGCGGAAAACCCACAACAAAGATCGCGAGATTGCAGAAGAAAGCGCCAATGGAGGGTAGAAGGCGTGGTGGGCCCAGCCGCCCAAAGGATGAAGCCGCCATTCCTGGGGTAGGCGGTGGCGATCTCGGCAGTGATAAGGAAATATATATATATATATATATATATATATATATATATATATATATATATAGAAGTCACAAAGGTTATCGCAGGAATTACACAAATAGAAAATCAGTATTCCCAAAAATAGAATACTATTCTAAGGAAAAACGGAGACCAAAAAAGAAATTTAGTAAGAAAACCACCAGTAAACAGCAATCCAAAGACACTAGGAAAGACATCAGTAAGATTAAGTATTATAAATGTGGAAAATTAGGACACTATGCAAAACATTGTTATGCAAAGAAAAAAATTAGTCAGTTACAAATTCCTGATGACATTAAAGATTCTCTTTACCAAATACTCCAATTACGCGACACAGATGATAGTAGTAGTAATCCAGAAATTAGTTCTTCTTCCCAGTTATCTGATGATTCTGACAGTTCTCCTGATATTACTATAGGATGTAAGGATAGCTGTTGTAAGAAAAAGTCACTCAACGTTCTCACAAAAACTTAAGAACAAGAACACCTACTTATTAATTTAATTAGTAAATTAGATGACCCTGAGTTAAAATTAGCCTACCTTAAAAAACTCAAAAAGTTATTAGGAAACACAAAATCAGAAACCCCAAAAGTAACTAAACCTAATTTTAGTTTATATAAAACTTTGGAAAGATTCAATAATCAACCAAAAGAAATTACCATCCAAGATTTTCAAGCAGAAATTAACATAATCAAGACAGAAATTAAACACCTCAAAATAGAAAACCAAACTATTAAAAATGACATTGCTGAGTTAAACACAAATCCTGCTTTTTCCTTTAAAGGAAAAGACTCATCTGATGAAGAAGGCTCTAATCACTCCGATAGTTCAGAACCTTCCCAAAAGCTCCAAACTTTAACACATATATCATTTCAAAAATGGTATGCTAAAGTTACTCTTATCATCAACAAAGACTTCAAACTTGAAGTCATTGCTTTGATTGATACTGGAGCTGATCTTAATTGCATTCAAGAAGGTCTCATACCAACTAAGTATTATGAGAAAACTTCTGAAAAATTAAGCTCAGCAAATGGAAGTAAAATTGACATAAAATATAAATTATCAAAAGCTCATATTTGCCAAGACAATGTATGGTTCAAAACATCTTTTGTTTTAGTAAAAAATATGACTGACAAATTAATATTAGGAGTCCCCTTCATCTATCTTCTTTACCCATTTACAACCAATAATGAAGGATTAATAACCCGACCTTTCAGATAAGAAGTTCAATTTAAATTCTTGAGTCCTCCCTCTAAGAAAGAACTCAAGTCAGTAATTGATTCCTCTGTATCCAAAACTATAAATTTACTCCAAAGTAAAACCCAACAGTTAGCATTCCTAAAAGAAGAACTAACTGATCCAAAATTGCAACAAAAAATCCAAGAATTTGAACAACACATTAAGAACCAAGTTTGTTCTGATCTCCCAATAGCTTTTTGGCACCACAAAAGACATTCAGTCAAATTAACTTACATTAAAAGCTTTAAACGAAGACACATTCCTACTAAGGCCAGACCAGTTCAAATGAATCCTGAAGTTATGGAATTTTGCAAGAAAGAAATTTCTGATCTTCTACACAAGAAGATAATTAAGAAAAGCAAGTCACCATGGTCCTGTCCAGCTTTTTATGTTTAGAAAAATTCTGAAATAGAGCGAGGTGTCCCCCGTCTAGTTATAAACTATAAACCTCTGAATAAGGTTTTAGAATGGATAAGATATCCCATTCCTAACAAAAAAGACCTTATTAGCCGTTTAAGCCAAGCAGTTATCTTTTCCAAGTTCGATATGATGTCAGGATTTTGGCAGAT